TATATATATACCTTCCGGAATTCGTGATAAACGGAGTGTCCAATTTTCGGAGGGCGCCTACATAGGTATTTTTAAAATGTATTACGTAAACAGATTGGAAAATTCTCGTTCTCCAACCTTTTTTTTCTCTTCTTTCTTTCTTTCTTAGCATTTCGTCATATCGTAATCATATGATGTGGCCGTATGTATTTGTGTTTATGAGTGGTTTTGTGTGTATTTATGTCTGTGTTCTGTTTATGTGTGTGTGGTGTGTGTGCGCGCGCGCGCGCGCGTGTGTGTGTACGTGTGTGTGTGTGTGTGGTGTGTGTGTGGGTGTGTGTGTGTGTGTGTGGTTGTGTATGTGTGTGTTTTTGTGAATATGCATGTGTGTATGTTTATGTGTGTACGCTCATATGCAAATCTGTGTTCCAAGAATCTGCCTCTGATTTTCATAACTAGTGGCTGTGCAATGATCATTATCATAGTCGCCATTATTGATGCTGGAGTCTTTCTCTTAAATTAATTCCTTGTTATCATTTTATGGTTCTATGTTTCTGTAATTGTTATGAACGTTTCTTTATGTTCATGACTTTTCATGGTTTGGCCGAAAACCTTGAATTATTTTTTCCTTTCTTTAATTGCAAATGTTATCTTATCATGAAAAAATACATAATTATTATTACAATATCATCTAAAACATGATCTCTGCGTTTATCAATGCATTTAAATAGAATCACATTGAGCTTTTCAAATATCAATAGATAAAATTAGTTGCTATTTGTTGCAATGAATTTGACCGAAAAGTTGAACCGTATATCAAGAACAACAAAATAGTATATAATTGATCAGACACCTTAATTTGTTTATCTGATGATCTATTTATACTTTTGATTGTTTACTTGTTTAACAAAAATACATTTGGATTTTTTTTTTTTTTGTACAATGGGAATCTCAACTGGAATTTCTTTGGTATTTCTTTGATCGCGAGTAGAACGTCAGCTGATTATGTTGAACAGGACTTGAACAGCTGACGGCTAACGCTGTGTGTGCGTGTTTGTGTGTGTGTGTGTGTGTGTGTGTGTGTGTGTGTGTTTGTGTGTGTGTGTGTGTGCGTGTTTGTGTGTGTGTGTGTGTGTGTGTGTGTGTGTGTGTGTGTGTGTGTGTGTGTGTGTGTGTGTTTATGTTGTGTGTGTCTAATGGCATATTTATCTACCCACTTATCCACCTACCTGTATATCCATCTTTTCATCATTCTAACGATCAGCCTGTCTGTCATTCTATCTATCTATATGTTGATCTATCTATTTATCTACGTATATATATATATATAATATATATATATATATATATATATATATATATATATATATATCTGTGTGTGTGTCTGTGTGTGTGTGTGTGTATACACACGCGAATGTGTGTGTGTGGTATGTATGTTTGTTTGCGTGTATGTATGTATTTGGGCACTTACAAAGACAATAAAGAGTATATGACGAGGAAGAGGAAACACTATACTTTGTGTTTAGGCGAGGTGCAGTTTTGTCGTGTAGACATGAAACGTCACTAATTATTTTTCTTTTTCATTATACATATATATGTGCATATATACATACATACATACATGTGTGTGTGTGTTTGTGTGTGTGTGTGTGTTTGTGTGTGTGTATGTGTGTACTTGTGTATGTGTGCATGCATATGTGTTTATGTATTCATGAATACACTCTATCTCTCAGTAAGCCTCTCTATATATTCATTCAGCCACATGCACACTATACATTCCTGATGAGTTTTGAAAATCTATTCTAAAATACTGAAATATACAACAATAATATAATAAGACACAATATCATGATATAATACATCTGAAATATCTAGCCTGAGCAAATATCTCTGGAAACCCTATTAATAGTTTAGTGTTAACATTTCTCTACAAATTAGCGAAGGCAGCCGTCAGCAACATACGTAGAGCACACACCTGGTAGACACATGTACGTCCGTTGTACAGTACAGTTAGGTGTACCATTTCCCTATTGTGCTTCTTGGTCCCTTTGCCAAACTGTGTATGTGTGGGGAGAGTATTTTTTTTGTTTTGTTTTTAGCGTGTTTATGTGTTCTTTTCTTCTTTAATTCTCTCTATTTTTGTAATTATTGTGATTTAGTTTTTTTTTTTTTTTTTTTTTTTTTGAGAACAAAATGTATATACTGAATTTGATCGGAAAGGAATCAGAGTATTTTGCAGAGGGATTACTTTCAATACACATACAAATAATCTTCATTATGCAGTTCATCAGAACAAAATACATACAGGGATTTTATTTGGTATGAAATTATACACTGAACTAAATCATCATTATCTTCTTTGTGGTATCTTAAGAATACGAGACATGAAATAAATGAAAGAAGAGGCATTAAAATGATACCCATTTATTACTTATGGACTTACATGATAACCTTATAATTAAGAACATTACATAAGCCCCCTCCTACCCCCCACCTCCCCTTTGATCCGTGAGGGCGGAGGGGGGGGAGGGGGAAGGTATGAGGGGAAAGATAAGTACTGCTACCCGAGGATACAATGGGAATTCGTTTTTATTTTTCGTTTTACAATATGCTAATGTTTAATTATGATAAATGTAATAAAGCTAACTAAGCAAGGCAGCATCACATCACATCACGAACACACACACACTTACGCACGCACACACATATACATGGACATTTGACATAATATCTGCATGACGTATGACGCAATGTACCCTTGATGGTATGAATGACGTGTACATTGTGAATTCCTAATCTATTTGGTCAGATGATAATGCTCTCTCTCTCTCTCTTTCTCTCGCTCTCTCATTCGCACACTAACATGAACAAAGAGTAAGGTACACAAACATTTTCACTTCTTAACAACTAACAAGAATAATGAAACATGACACACATTTACAATATATATATACATATGTATATGTACACAACACTCACCAGGAGCGAATATCCTGGATGAAGTAACACTGTTAGAGGTAGGAGGCTGGATTCATTTCCATAACAAACAGAAGTTCAAGTCCCAAATAACTGTACTTAACGAGCGACACCTTTTTCACGGTCGACCTTTTACTCTCTGTCTGCGTCAAATAAAGAAATCACTCGCAGAGGTTCGACACTTTGTTGCTTTCCGTTTTAATAGCTAGTTAAGCATGTAAATGTACCGTCTGGGCATGCAGTGTGTACCAGCTGGGGGTATGCAGTGTACCGGCTGCGCCACATGGCCCGAATTAAGGCGCTGGGCACCGCGGGAAGGCGCTGCCGCTGCGTTGGAAACTCGTCTGTCGGGGGCGGCTTTTTCGAACGCCGACTGTATTTTCTCGTCTTTTCGCTTTTTTATTGTTTTGCGTTTGTCACTTTCGTGGTTGGGGAACATGGGAAGGGCGTGGCGTGAGTGGTTAATTGGTGCTTGAGGTTTGGAGGCGCGGGCGTGAGGGCGCGGGCGGCGCTGCCTGCATTAGAGCGTGGCGGTCTGCGGCGTGAGGGCCGAGCCGCTCATCATGGAGCTGAGCGGGTTCCCGAAGCCGTTCTGGAGGCCGTTGGAGAGGCCGTTGGAGAGGCCGTTGGCCAGGCCGCTGGAGAGGCCGTTGGGGAGGCCGTTGGAGAGCGGGTTGGCGAGCGGGCTGGAGAAGCCGTTGGCGAGCGAGGACGAGAGGTGGTTGGGCAGGCCGTTGTGCGCCAGCGAGTTGTTCTGCGGCCCGCACGACTGGAAGTACATGTAGTAGTTGTAGCTGTTGGCGTCCTGCATCGGGTGGTGGCGCGGCAGGCCGGCGGCGGCCATGTTGACGTGGCCCAGCAGGTCGGACACCGTGTGCGACGACGGCCAGTGGGGCCGCATGCCGCCCATGCCGCAGGTGGCGCCCGACACCGGCGGCGAGGGCGTGGTGGTCGCCTTCACGCCGCCCGCGCCGGAGGCGGCGGCGCTCGTGGGCGGGACGGGCGCGGACGGGACCTGAGCGGAGCCCTGCTGCATGGCCGCGGGCGGCGCCATCGAGGAGTAGGCTGCGGCGGCGGCGGTGTAGGCTGCGGCCGCCGGGTAGAGCGAGTTGTAGAGCGAGGAGGCGGGGTGCTTCACGTCGTAGGGGCTCTGCGAGCCGAGGTGGTGCAGCGACCCGATCTTGTTCCTCAGGATCCTGCGGGAGAGACAAGCAAAGGACTCAGATCGAGGTTCTCGCCGGTCCTTCGGGTGAAGGCGGAGGCGCGAGGCGCGGGCGCTTCGTGCCATCCTTTATTCTAGCCATTTATGTTCCCACACAACGAGGAGACTCACTGACCATACCTTGGAGGGGCGTGAGGTCCTGGTGAGGCGTGCAACGAAAGGAAAATCGAACAGCAATAGTCAAATATTCAAACAAATTCATATAAACTGATGATTATTACGAGTAAAGGATGTGTGTGGCTTCTGTATCATATTGTGATTAAGAACACGCGTATTTATTTAAGTAAATTATCAATACAGTGATAATAACAATAAAGAAATTACAATAAGGCTAATAGCAATGAAAATGTTAGTAATAATACTAATGATAATAATAACAACAATAATAATGATTATAATAATTATATTAATATGCATAATAATAACAACAATAATAATAATAATAATAATGATAATTATAAGAATGATAATGATAATAATGATAATAATAATGATAGCAATAATAATAATAACAACAACAATAATAACAGTAATAGTAATAATGACAATGATTATAATTACAATAAGGATAATGAGATGAAGAAAACGAAGCTCAAGATTAACAGGGAGATCAAGAACTATAGCAGCAAATCATCTAAGAAAAGGAAATAGGCAAAGATAACAAGTCAAAAGAAAGAAAGAGAGAATGAATAATATGAATAACGCATATTGAAATATAGCTAAAAATACGCATAGGTGCTCTTATATAATCCTTACTCTCCTAAACACAGTATATCCTATAAGTATTGCCCGTAAGTATAATCTTACCAGAAATATATTTTACAGTATATCTTACAGACTGATCGGATATATCCTCCAAGTATACCGTACAAGTATATCCTATATATCAATCGATCCTTGATATCTATTATATCCAATTAGTATATCAAATATTCTACGAATATGTCCCTCAGGTATGGCCTCACCTACAGACAGTATATCCTGAAATATTGGCTTACAAATAGATCAAATGTATCCTACAAGTATGTAAGTAGGTGTAAGATAGACAGTAAGATAGATGTAAGGAGATATCTCTCAATGTCATCCTTCAGTCTTATCTTACGCCCTATTCTCTCTTTCAAACAATGTTCAAGATATTCATTCTCATCCATTCTGTTTTTATTCCAGTCAACGTTATCCCTCACTCTTTACCTCGAAATTGAACTTTTAATACATAACACTCACCACACTTAACACATCACACTTAACATTTACCACGTTTAACATAATGATCATAATTTCCACTCCTTACCTGGAAATAAAACACTTAACTCACTCATCGGACTTAACACACTCATAATACTCAATAAGAATACACTTAACACATCACATTCACCACAACGACCACCGTCCCCGCCTCTTTACCTGGATATCGAACACTTAATTCACATAACACTCCCCGCACTTTAACACCACACACTCACCACCCACGTAACATTCACTGCACTTACCACATCACACCCACAGCAACACCCACCATACCCTCCCTCCTTACCAGGAAATCGAACAGTTAACACACATAACACCTCACCCTCAACACCTCCATCATAACACTCCTACACTTTTAACACCTCACATTTCCCCCATCCCCTACCCACCACCCCCACCCACCCCTCTCCCAACCCCTCCTTACCTCGAGATCGAACTGACACTCGGCACGTTGTACTTGTCACACACGCCGTCCTTCAGGAGTCGCTCCCTTATCTCCCACGCAAAGATGCCGGGGTCCTTCTGCTTGAGGTCCTTGATGTAGTTGACCACCTTGGGCGTCGTCACCCTGGGCTTGGAGCCCCCGATGGCCCCGGGGAGGATGGACCCCGTTTCGTTGTATCTGTAGAAGGCGACGGAGGAGGAGAGAGGGTTGAGAAAATTTTTTTTTTTTTTTTTTTTTTTTTTTTTGATTGCGTTTATTTATTTAAATTTTTGTTTTTTTTTTTCATCTTTTTTATCTATTTGCTATTCATTACCTCTTCTTTTCTTTCTTTATTTTTTAAATCATTATTCTTTATCTATCTGTTTATTCATTTGTTATATGCTATTTATAAAGCCTATCATCGTTAAATTCTATGAGTAAGATTTGTCTTTTCATATCAGTTTATATCAATGTCTTATTCTATCTATTCCGTAATGTTAATACTTTATCATTACTTGAATTCTCACCACATTCATCATTCACACTTATCTATATCACACTCATATCTTATTTATCTCTTATCATACTTATCTATCTCTTATCACACTCTCTTACCTTTTATCACACATCTTTCATCGCACTTATATTTCTATCTATTACGCTTATCTATCTCCTATCATCACACTTACCTCTGTTTACACATATCTTTCATCACACGTAGCTATCTCTTATCATCATCACATCCCATATCACTCTCTTTTATGTCTTATCTCCCCCATAACTCATACATATCTCTTATCATCACACATATCTCTCTTATCTCTTATCACTTTCTCTTTATCTCTTATCCCTTATCACTCTTACATATCTCTTATCATCACACATATCTCTTATCATCACGCTGATTTTCTTATCTCTTATCATCCACCTGGCATCTCTTATCTCTCATCACTCTTATATGTCTCTTTTCATCACACCCATCTCTCTTATCTCTTATCCCTCTTACATATTCCTTATCATCACACATATCTCTTTTATTTCTTTTCTCTTATCACCCACCTGGCATCTTTTATCTCTTATCACTCTACATATCTCTTATCATCACACTTATCACTCTTACATATCTCTTATCATCACACTTATCACTCTTACATATCTCTTATCATCACACTTATCACTCTTACATATCTCTTATCATCACACTTATCACTCTTACATATCTCTTATCATCACACATCAACTTCTTACATATCTTATCATCACACTTATCACTCTTACATATCTCTATCATCACACTTATCACTCATTACATACTTCTCACCTTACATATCTCTTATCATCCACACTATCACTCTTACATATCTCTTATCATCACACTTATCACTCTACATATCTCTTATCATCACACTTATCATACTATATATCTCCTTTTCATCACTCTTACATATCTCTTATCATCACACTTATCACTCTTACAATCTCTTATCATCACACTTATCACTCTTACATATCTCTTATCATCACACATCACTCTTACATATCTCTTATCATCACACTTATCACTCTTACATATCTCTTATCATCACACTTATCACTCTTACATATCTCTTATCATCACACTTATCACTCTTACATATCTCTTATCATCACACTTATCACTCTTACATATCTCTTATCATCACACTTATCACTCTTACATATCTCTTATCATCACACTTATCACTCTTACATATCTCTTATCATCACACATCACTCTTACATATCTCTTATCATCACACTTATCACTCTTACATATCTCTTATCATCACACTTATCACTCTTACATCTCTTATCATCACACTTATCACTCTAACATATCTCTTATCATCACACTTATCACTCTTACATATCTCTTATCATCACACTTATCACTCTTACATATCTCTTATCATCACACTTACCACTCTTACATATCTCTTATCATCACACTTATCACTCTTACACATCTTATCATCACTTACATATCACTCTTATCATCACTATCTCTATCATCACACTTATCACTCTTACATATCTCTTATCATCACACTTATCACTCTTACATATCTCTTATCATCACACTTATCACTACATATCTCTTATCATCACACTTATCACTCTTACATATCTCTTCATCACTTATCACTCTTACATATCTCTTATCATCACACTATCACTTTACATATCTCTTATCATCACACTTATCACTCTTACATCTCTTATCATCACACTTATCACTCTTACATATCTCTTCATCACACTTATCACTCTTACATATCTCTTATCATCACACTTATCACTCTTACATATCTCTTATCATCACACTTATCACTCTTACATATCTCTTATCATCACACATCACTCTTACATATCTCTTATCATCACACTTATCATTCTTACATATCTCTTATCATCACACTCCTCTCTCTTATCTCTTATCTCTTACCTGGCCAGGATCTTGGAGACGCAGCCGTGGGAGACCCTCAGCTGCCTCGAGATATCGCAGGGACGGATGCCCAGCTGTGCCAACTCTACGATGCGCATCCTCACGTGGTTTCGGAAGGGCCGCCATTCACGAAAACGCCGCCCAGCTGATTCACTTCGCCGTATTGCTGGATCTGTGGGTCTGTGGGCGTGAGAGAAAGGGGGAGGGGGTGGTTAGGGGTGGTTGGGTTTGATGTTGTTATTGTTGTTCTATTATTATTATATATATTGTTTTTATTTTTTAGTGTATTTTTTTTAGGGGGGGGGGCTTAAATTTGTTGGTCTGGGCATTTTATTTTTTAGTTCTCTGATTTATTATCATTATCAATATATATATTTTTTTATTTCATTCACTATTTATTAAGGAGGACACTTGGGTAAGGTTTCGTGTTTTGAAAGTAGTGGCCTCTTCTATTTCACTATGTTTATTTTGTTTTATTTCATTAGTTTACAAGTTCATTGGTTGATTTATTTCATTTTCTTACTAAAACAATTTAAAAGAATATAACATTGATTTCTTAATCAGGTTTTAATGGAAAAATAGTGCAGAAAAAAACAAACAGAAAATGTTATTGAGTCTAGCGTTCATGCAAAGAGAAAAGAGAAAAACAAACAAGAGAGAAAAATCAAAAGAAATTCGCAAGAAATTAAAGTACAACGAACGCCTTGTTAAGAAAGCTTGATGTCGAAAGCAGAGTCGAAGTCGAAGTCACAGTCACATCCACGCATCGGGAGGCGGAATGCCAGCCACGCCCCCTGTGGACTGGACACTGCATGGGCGGAGACACACGGCGCCCACATCTGGCACCCAAAACACGAGGCGCGCATTCAACACCGAGGCTAAATGTTTGGACACTCGCTCTATCGTCTTCAGACATTCAGAGCCAGCGGATTAAGATCTGTAATTTCCATCTTAACGAGAGACAGAACCCCGCGACAAAAAGCCAACCGCCGCCTTAGAACACCCACTCGCTGGCTTCGTAAATGTTTTGACACCCAGTATGTGCATTTGACATTATCCGTCGTTTCTCTTTCGAGGTTAGATTCAAATCACAGACTCATAATCCTAAAACACCCCAACGATATTTATTCATCTAAGTAAGAAAAAAGCTTCAACAAAAAGTCAACAAGAGAGATAAGAAGCAAATAAGACCGAGAGATAGAGAAAAAGAGAAAGGAAGAAGAAATTCCCGCGTTTGTTTACAAGCGAGCGGAGGAGAGAGCGCGGGAACATGGCGGAGGTCGGTCAACTTCCCCCCCAAAATGCCTCGCGGTTGGTGGGGGCTTCAGCGGCGGTCCAGGGAGACATATTGAGTTATTTGAAGGGTTTATCTGGCCCGTCTCCCCTCCTGACAAGCCTTCATTACTTCCCAAAATATTTGCGCCCGCCGGAGGTAACCTGGACGACCGGAAGTTAGTGAGGAAGTAATGTTTCTAAGGCTTGTGTTACTCCGTTACTAAGGCTGGTAATGGTATCCCGCCAGAGTTGATCGGGGGGAAGATAATGGTATTCTAATGACACTCCGGTGGTGTGGAAAGGCTGGCAACAGGGGCAGATGAGTGACCGACCAAATGATTAAAGTTCTGTGTTTGGGTTTGTTGATTTCACTCACTTTATGTGGCTCTTTTTGTTTTCTTGTTATAGAATTGAGTTATAAATCATCCTTATCATTCGTCTTAGTAAAACACCGAAGGAAACTTGACTGACAGCAAACACAAACAGAAAAACAAACAAACAAGCATAAAACACCGACCCCCAGAAATCTTCGAACTATACCTTCCTCCAAAAATCGCAAAACAAAAATAAATCAAAATAAAAAAATCTTCCATCCTTCCCTTATTCTCGCTTTCTCTCCCCCTCCCTCATTCATTACGCCTTCCTCTCCCCCTCCATTCCAAACGCTTGTTCTCTTAGGCTCGCTCGTGCCTCTAAGGAGATGAATGGAAGGGGGGAGAAAGGAGGAAGGGGAGAAGGGAGAAGGGGGAAGGGGTGAGGGGAAGGGGAGAGAGAACATAGCGAGAGGCACGTGGATAAAAGGGGAGAGGAGAGGAAGGGAGGAGTGAGGAGTGAAAGGGAGTGAGGAATGAGGGGTAGTGAGAGGAAGGGAGAAATGAGGGGGGTGAGAGGAAGGGAGGAATGAGGGGAGTGAAAAGGAGTGAGGAATAAAGGAGCGGGAGAGGAAGGGAGGAGTGAGGGGAGTGAGGAGTGAGGGGAAATGAAGGGGAGTGAAAGGAAGGGAGGAGTGAGGGAGGATGAGGGGGGTGAGAGGAAGAGAGGAATGAGAGAGAGTGAAGAGTGAAGGCAAATGAGGGGGAATGAGAGGAAGGGAGGAGAGAGAGTAAGAAGTGAGGAGAAATGAGATGGAATGAGGAGGAAAGGAGAAGTGAGGAAAAGCGAGGAACAAGCCTAATGATAAAGAAAAGAGGGGTGGAAAGGAGAAAGGGAGGAGGGAGGGGCCAAGATGGGGGAGGGGGGAGAATGAGAGGTGGAACGTGAGGGCATAAGAGCGTAGTAAAGGTTCCGATTGGCACGTGGATGAGGGGAGAGGGAGAGAGGGGAAGGAGAGAGAAAAGGGAGGAGAGGGAAATTGAGAGAGGGAGATGGGCAGAGAGAGAGAAAGGGAAAAGGAAAGGGAAAGGGAGAGGAAGAGAGGGAAAGGGAGAGAGAGGAGTGAGAGGTAGAGAAAGGGAAAGGGGTTGGAGAGAGAAAGGAGAGGAGAGGAGAGGGGAGGAGAGAGAGAGGGGGAGAGAGAGACGAGAAGGAGGGGTGAGGTGGGAAAAGAGGGAAGGGGGGAGGAGGGCACAGAAACAACCTAATGATAAGAGATGAGGGGAGATGAGAGAGAGAAGAGAAGGGGAGGAGGGGGGGCGAGAAGCAAAGAAAATGGAGCCTAACTGCGTGGCCATTATAGCAAGGTCTTCATATTACAAAGCGCTGCGTTAGATGAAATCATAACATTTCGTGACTTTGGGAATAAATGCCTTTATTCTCCATATAAAAGATGTTTTAAAAATGCCTTCTCGTTTTTTTTTAACTTTTCAGGGGGAACTACATCAAACCGTAATTTGCTAAAGGATGGAAAATGCTACTTCTTACGTGGAAATAGCCCCAAAGAATCGTAATGAATGGAGCGCCCTAATGAATGAAATAGAAGGAATGAGAATTAAATTATTCTTGTACGCTTTACGGTTTTGTAAATTAGATTAAAAAAATATTTAATTCCGGATTCCGAATGAAGTGTGAGTGCGTGGTGGTGCGATGTTGCCATGTTGTCATATTTTTATAGGCTAAATCTCTTCTCTCTCTCTTCTCTCGCTAGTTTCACTCTCTCTCTCTCTCTCCTTTCCATCTCCTTCTCTCCCTCTCTCTCCCTTCCTCGTCTTTATTCTCCTTCCCCTCTCTCCCTTCTTCTCTTTTATCCCTTCTCTCCATTTCTCTCCTTCTCCTTCTCTCTCCTTCTCCCTCCTTCCTTCCCTCTCCCTTTCTCTCTTCCTCCTTCCTCTCCTCAACCTATCTACCTCCCTCCTCCTCATTCCTCCCTTTCCCGCTCTCTCCCTCCTTCCTCTCCTCCCCTCTTCCTCCTTCATCCTCTCTCCTCTCTCTCCCTCTCCCTCCCTCCCTCTCCCTCTCTCCCTCCCTCCCTCTCCGTCTCCTCTCTCTCCCTGTCGCTGCCGAAGAGTTGGCTTTCGAGGTCGTGTTTCAAAGCGACCCAGGGATTCTCGGGAAGACGAGTGAGTGAGCAATGGTGGTTAGTTTCTTCCAAAAGAATTTAAATACTCCCATATGGCCGCTGCTGAATATTATCATTATCTTATTCCTTGACTTTTTTGTTTCTTTGGCTTTCTGCCGTTCTTTCTTTCTTTTCTTTCTCTTTCTCTGTCTGTTTTTATTTTGTTTTTTTGTTTTTCTTATTCTCTCTCTCGCTCTCTTTCTTTCTTTCTTACTTTCTTTCTCTCCTCTCCTCTCTTCTCTCTCTCTCTCTCTCTTCTCTCTCTTCTTCTCTCTCTCTCTCTCTCTCTCTCTCTTCTCTCTCTCTCTCTCTCTCTCTCTTCCCTCCTTCCCCTCCCCCCTCCCTCCCTCCCTCCCTCCCTCCGTCCCTTCCTCCCTCCCTCCTCCATTTCCTCCTTGCCTCCTCCTCCATCTCCTCCCTCCCTCCTCTCCCGTCTCCCTCCTCCCTCCTTCCTCTTCTATCGATCTCTCTCGATTTATTTATTCTTTTAATCTCTCGCTCTCTATCGCATTGGACTTCACAGCGGATGCCTCTGGTACATCTTGAAAGCTAATCTGTTCAGAGTGTTATTGATTGTAAGTGAGACCATGTGTGAGTGTGTAAGTACGTAGTAAGTTAGCGTTTGTAATACGTGGCGAGACACATGCAGGCAGATATTGATAATTAGAGTGAGAGGAGAGATAAGGAGAGGGGGAAGGGGGAGAGAGGGAGGTGGAGGAGGTGAGAGGAGGATGGTTAGGGAGAGGAGGGGGAGGAGGGAGAGAGGGAGGGGGAAGGAGGAAGAAGGAAGAGAGAGAGAGAGAGGAGAGAGAAGAGAGAGAGAGAGAAGAGAGAGAGAGAGAGAGAGAGAGAGAGAGAGAGAGAGAGAGAGGGAGAGAGAGAGAGAGAAGAGAGAGGAGAGAGAGAGAGAGAGAGAGAGAGAGAAGAGAGAGAGAGAGGAGAGAGAGAGAGAGAGAGAGAGCGAGAGAGACAGAGAGCGAGAGAGA